GTGCATGAAAGAGAATTCACAGGAATCTTCTCCTCCCCCTTTCCCCTTCATGCTCACTCTTTTTTATCTTGTCTCTTGACTCAGGGGAGTGCAGGGGTTACATATCCTCTATACCACCACTTCAGAGTATATTGGAACCAACTTGTTATGGAAAGAGCCATAACTCCCTACAACATGACAATTCACAGAGCTGTTTAGCTACATACATTGATGACAGATGTGAAAAAACACAAAAGTCTGTGCTTTACCAGAAGCAGCAGCATGTTAGCTGGACCCGGTTCCACAGCATCTGTATAGAATGGGTACTTCAGTGGGGCTTTTGGGCCCTTTTATCTAATAGCTAATTCAATCAGCTATTAGGTAAAAGGGCCAGCCTCCCGCCCCCCCTGTAATGTGCCCGACCTAGACAGACGTTGGGCAAGCTGGGTCCAACTAAGATGCTGCCTCTTCTGGGCATGTGGAGGGCTCAGCATGGGGGCATGCTGAGTTTAAAGTAAAACACGGTTTTTTTCACATCTACTAGCAGTCATAGAGGCTAATATGTGGTAACCCTTACATGGGTATAGCAAATTACACCTTCACTATCCCAATTAATGGGAGAGCTATAAGAGGCTGAAAATGCCCATTGCTTCCTGTGCTATACGGAAGTGGGAGCCAAGTTTTTTGGCAGGTATGCCCCAAATCAGACCCCATGCCTTCTCTGAGTGCCACACTGGTCTTCTTTGCCCTGTCCAATATGCTACTCTGCTTTGGGATGCTCTGTTTTCTGCTCCCCATAGGTGGGGGGAGAAAATATTATTGGGGGGGCTGACCCCCATCCCTCCCTCCTACAGGGCCATTGCTGGGCTGGCGTGCAATGGTGCTGTATGTGGCAGTGGAGGAGCAAACAGCAGGGGCACTGAGCACAGTGCTGCAGTGGTGGGTGTGGTGGTGGTGCTGGAACAGTGGAGCCGTGTGGAGCTGACCATGTGTGAGGTGTTGGCCTGGGTGTATGCCAAGCAGCGCTGGGTGCTACTGCTATCCTCAGCCACCACAAAATTAATTTGGGGGGGCAAAGCCCCATTAGCCCCAGCCTTCCACCACCTATGCTGCTCGCTGCCTAATTTACTGCTTTGCTTTCTCTGCTCCTGGTACCATCTGCCACTTCATGGCTTGCTACCTCCCAATCTGCCATGTGCCACACAGAAGCTGCCCATACCTCTGTGGCACATGTGCTGCAGGTTGGCTATCCTCCTGCTATAGGGTATACGTCTGTATTGCCCCTTAACATAATGTTTATATGTTAGTTTAGCCTGAATGTTTATATTTTTAGAAACATCCTATGAAAGTTGTATGTTATGCTAACACAGGGGTGGGCAAAATGCGGCCCGGGGGCTGGATGCAGCCCGCCAGGCCATTTTATCTGGCCAGCAGGGCCCCTAAAAAATTTAGAAATTAATATTTATCTGCCTCTGGCTGCCTATCATGTGGCCCTCAATGACTTGCCAAAACTCAGTAAGCGGCCCTCTGCCCAAAATAATTGCCCGCTCCTGTGCTAGCAGCATGCAGTGTACCCTGGCTTTACATAAAATAAATCAGAATGACTTATTTTTTTTAACAAAAATAATTCAGCCTAAAGCCAGGAGAATATTTGGGTTTGAAGGAACCAAGAGTGAGCCCATATTGTGAAGTTAAACCAGCAAGATACATTCAGGCCTAAATAATGCAAAAGCTGATGCCAAAAGAAAGAGTCTGCATGATGCATCAAATACTGTTAAGCCCCTAGAAATAATTTGCACAGTCAGATCAAGCCGCTACAGACAATTTCTGAGATCAAAATGAATTCCACAGCACACTTTCATCTGAGTTCTCTACTCTAAGACAAAATACTGCATGCACTCTGCATAAAGAAATGCAATATTATTCACAGTACTAAAATGTTAAATAAAACCATGGCAATACAGAAATATGCCAGCAAATTTGCCTACAGGAACACAATGGAGCCAAATTCATCAGCAGTGTAAGAAAGCACAATTCCACTGACATCTAGGGAGCCAGCACCATGTTAGATACCATATCTATATTTTTCATCAACTCATTAAACACATTCAGAAAAAATAACACTCCATGAACACTGAATTATTATGTTACCAGCATACAGTACACACTTTTTTGCATAGAGTACTTTGGGATGACAAATTCCTTGTTAATGAGAATAGTTCAGCTAGAGGTCAGGAGAATATTTTGAACTAAGGGAGCTCAGCAACAATCAGGAAGCAACAGACAGCTCAATAGCCACCTTTCCCCAGCCCATGTTACCTGAGTACTACTTACCTGTCTCAGACCTCATCTTACACTGGACCACACAGTCTTCTCCCATCTATGTTACTAGAATGCCTGACATAGTCACAGGCTTTTCTTTTTTAAAGAATCAGATTAAAAGGCATAAAAAAGGCTTTTGTAAAATCTTGTATTTATTCATAGCCAGATTCTTAGATGATGTAAATCAATGTCACTTCATGGATGTGAATACAGCCAGTTGGCACCAGCTGAGAATCTGGTGCTGTAAGGAACTTTGCTGTCAAAAGTATTCATGCCATTGCTGTGTAAGAGACTTAAGCAATCAGGACCAGGCATTAATAAATTGCATTCCCTTCTGGCATTTACTCCCCACGCTGAGTCGCTGTACACAGCATCATAATGAAAGTTACATATAAGGGGCTGCTAACTTGGAATTCCACTTTAGAATCTGGATTGTAGCAGTTCATAGTAATAACATTGGCCATTTCTGTAATGCAAATAACGTATAGGATTAACCATTTATAGCTTGTAGCTTTATATCACCCTTACATTTCCTTCCTTTTCAAGTTAAGAGTCACGAACTAAGCCAGTCCTTGAGATCTTAGAGCACGCTTAGGTTGACATTATAGCTGGTTTGCGTCATAAAAGCAGCTAAAAGTGTCATGCATGAAGTTGAAAACTGGCCCACAGTCTCATTGTAATAAACCATTTGAACAACCTTAATAAAATGTCCAGGTTCTGCTGTGTGTTTAATACATCAAGGTGGCTAGACTGAGGTTAGACAGGAATTGGTTTGATTACATTTCACACTGACCCTGAACTCAACATCACAGTACAAAGCGGTGTCGAGTTCCAGACATCATAATCCAAGTGTACGAATGTATGTAGACACTGCAAAATGGTTTATCCTTGTTATCAGTTATGTTGAATAGATAAGTCAGATATGATAAAGAGGTGTGCAGTCTGGCAATATAATTAAGTCTCCCATTTAAAGAGTTAGGCCAGTATTCCAGTATTCACACGTACTCATGGAGTTGCATGTGCATATCTTTTTTTTTTTTTTTAAACTTTTGGGCATATTTAACCTACTCTTTACTTCCAAAAAGAAGAACTATGAGAGAATAAAGATTACTTATGTCTATTGGGCCAGACCTATTACCCCACTGAGCTGCACTTAGTACAGGAGAAGAGGAAAGGGCAAAGGCTACTTTAAGTTGCTTTTATACGCCTTTGATTCTTCAGGCACCTGGGGTACCTGCACATGAGCTGGGAGGCTGCTCCAATGTGCTATAATTACAGCACATCAGAACAGACTTGGCTGAGTTTAACAAATCTGGTGGAGTGTGTTAATTAGCATCTTCCAGCCAGCCTCCGCGTCACGTATCAGCATCCCCAAGCTTCAAAATGGCAGCGGGGGTGCTTTTACTAAAGTTTCTTTGATGAGCTTTAGCTAAAGCACTCCAGCCACCATTTTGAAGCATGGGGACACAGATACACAAGCCACTGCAGGTGCTTTAACTAGAGCAGCTTACAGAGCCACTCTAATTAAAGCCCTACTGCACTCCCAGAGTATGTGTAAAAATGTCCCTGAAGTCCAGCTTCTATTATCATTTAGAGAAGCCTGTGATTGCTTCACTTGAGATCCATGCCCATGCTGCTAGTGGCCCATTCAGAAAATCACAAATTCTGTGACTCTTCTTCCTCACCCTAGCCAGGTCCATCCTGATAGCTTGACAGCCCCTGAAGATGCTATTCTTTAAATATACTCTCTTGTTTTGGTGGGTTTTTTTGTTCTGCTCATCACTGTGCATTGTTCAGTGATTTCATTATGCTATCCATAAAGGCACCTAGGTGACTGGATGATATACTGCTCCCTTTTGCTATTTCACTTTGTAGTTCTTCAAGGGCTTTACTTTTGTTTTCTTTGGATTTTCCTTGTTTGGATTTCTGGTTTTCCTTTTCTGTCCTGCATGCCAGTGTTGAAAGAAATGTTTATTTTGGGGTTTTTTGGGAGGGGGAGGAAGAGGGGAGGCGGTGGTTTAACTGTCATGTTTTACCTGTGTATTTACACTGGGATCATGGCTACACTAATGGAGATGCCCTGAGGCAGGGAATATGGCAAAAATGTGAAGGTAATTGCCTTGAAGGAATCAGACCAAGAGGTACTACATAAATGTAAAATAGCCGGTGCTAATGCACAGTAGCAATGGCGCATGGTCTTTTTATGATGCTTAATGTGCAGTAGACTAATTCTACTGTGCATTAAGTGTCTCGTGTAGACGCACCCACTGAGTAATGCTTTACTACACAGGCAGTGCCAGTTGGGAATGTAGAACTATCCATGAAATAAGGAATTTAGTTTGAATAAGGTTTATAGGATTTGACTGCTGTGGCCACTGATATCCTTAAATAAGGCGCTGACAACTAGTACGTTCTCTCCCACCTTTCCTTAATGGACCAATAACATTTAATTTATTGAAAGTATCCTTTTCTCTAAACTCCTAAGCTGTCCTGCTTCTACTGTCTCCTAGAGGTTGCAGCCTTGTGAGGTGCTGCATAAGTTACATTAAAAGACCAAGGCTTCAGTGTTTTGACAGTTAATGTTAATAATATAAGTGGAAACGTAACATGAGATACCTAGAAAATGTTACCGTTCCCATTTCCAGAACAAAGGGGAGACACTGATTTCAAGGCTGTCATCTATAAATAAACATCTCAGATTAAGTGTTCAGTCTTTATTTCATGATTTTCTTCACAGTTCCAACAAACAGTACAGCCATTTATATTTTGTATTGAAAGTTAAATGTATGCCTGTGTAGCACATGCTGCCATGACAGCTCTGTAGCATACTCCACTTCCTGAGTGCAAGAATAGGAGCGTGTAAAACAATGGTTAAACACTCATCTCTCTCTACCATTCCTCATTCAAGCAGCTGGTACCTTCTGGATTTCAATGAGGAATCACTTTGTATAGTTCCTGCCCTAAGAGACACTCCTGTTCAGCCTGAAGAAAGCACCACTGTAAATAAATAGCAGAAAAACTTCACAAAACATGGCCAGAATAGCATAATATCTGTGAATACTGATAATCACACAATAGTTTCTTGATTACATATAATGTAATGATATGAAATAAGAATATGACCTGTGATATGATTAGCATAGTAAGACTGGATAAATATGGAAGATAATTTAATAAACTAATAATTTGTAACATCAGTATGTTGCATCTTTTTTCTTTCTTTCAACATACACAAAAATGACTGCCCTAAAAGCAGCATTTTTCCCTGTAGTTAACACACTGGTATGACTTTGGTGGCATATTGTATGGCCAATGAAGTAGCTTAAAGCAGCATCATGTCAATATTTCAGTGATTATCACCAGGTTTGGGGTGCCTCAATCACTTAAGCTTCTTTGAAAATTCCAGCCTGGATATTAAAACTGCTTTCTATATACCTCTCCTTGGGTCATAGGGAAAGTGCTGTCATATATTGCCTTTATGGTTGAGATGGCACACAGGGTTAGAAATGGATAGTCTACCATCCAATAAAAAAATAAAGGTGTTTCATCTTGTAAATCCTAATGTTAGAAAGACTTTTGCAATCTTGGATTTGAAGTTGCACAGCACAGCTACATGCTTAATGTATAAATGCAAGGCAATATGTGATAAGAAAATCAAGGAGTGTAGGGA